CAATGTTGGGTACATGCGCAGAAGACGAATAAGCGGACTGCTTCATGTTTACTCTATGGTCTCCACTGAGACGTGGATGATGTAGTAGGGGTGGCTGGCCATGGCCTTCTCGACGACTGTGTGGGAAATCCTGACAAACACTGTCACAGAAGTTCCTGAAGGAGCTCTACGTCACTTGTCAGAGCGCCATGTGGACAGGCGGCGCGGCGGTCTCGGGAGTGGACCCGCGTGATCTGAGCTCTCTCCCCAGGCGGAGAAAGCGCGGTCTGATATCGCTACGCCAAAGTATTATAATTCTTGAACAGCATGGATAGTTGTCAGGGGGCGTAGCTCAGATGGTAGAGCGCTCGCTTAGCATGCGAGAAGCACCGGGATCGATACCCGGCGCCTCCAACGTAACCTATATTTTGCGAAGAGGTGACGCTGGGTAGAAAGCACAATTCTCAGAAAACTGAAAAATTTTATTTTCATATACTCTGCTAAGAATAATATTTTAGTCAGCGATGAGATGTAAGAAATTACGACTCTTCCAAGTTGAACAAAAAACATGGACTTAGATGTAAACAATAGAAAAGTTGTTGCAAAAAAATAATGCTGAATAAATTTTTGCGAGATTTCGAATCGCTTTACATGATGTTTATTCACACTCATTTGCAAAATAATATCACCACCGCAGGAGTGAGTGCAGGCACACGACATGGTAGTATGTATATAGAAAACATTTAAATATTTTACCACACAAGTGTGTGATGCAGGGTGCCAGCGCTTCCAGGATGCACACAGTATGGTGTTGGACTACCCATAACACGGAGACAGGCGGCAATATGGTCGGGCATGGACGCATACAAACATCGGGAGTTCTCCTGAGGAAGATCCTGCCACAGCTGGCACAAATCCACCGTAGTGGCCGGTGGCCGGGGTTGTTCATTTTGGTACCAAACGTTCTCGATGGGGGAGAGGTCTGGGGAACATGCTGGAAAAGGAAGCGTGATCCTATCACGAAGGCAGGCCAGATATTCCCTAGCTGGGTGAGACTGGGCATTTTCTTGATGGAAAATTAAGTTGTCAAGCTGCGCCAGGAAAGGGAGCGCACATGTTTGAAGAATTTCCTGGACATATGGCTGCGGCATCAGTTTCTCCAGCCACAACCAGTGAAATGTACACTGTTAAAAATAAATACCTTCATTTTACGGAAAAGTGCTGGAAAAAAATGTATGCAGAGGTGTCCGTAAACTCTAATTGCGGACACATTGATTTTTAATAACGGGCTTTCTGTAAAATTCACGGAACCTCTCTGTAAATTTCATAGTTAGTTTTCTGTACTTCTAGTTTACATAATTTTTTATATATATTTTATTTTAATTTTCATTATGTGGGTGTTCTACTATGTATAAAAGAGACATTTAAAAAAGTTGAAATATTTTATACTTTATTAATATTTGAACCCGAGTCAAAAATTCGCAAGTTGACGATCCTAACCACTTACCTACAACTATCACGTGGTGTTGTTGATAACTTTTGAATTTCTATGTAATAGATAAGTAACTTTTTTAGTTTCTATTAAAGTTAGTGTATTTTAAGTGTTATTAAGTGTTACAGGCGCCTATTGATACTTTTTAAAATTTGAAAGAACTGATCTAGTGACATGGATAACCTTAACTACCGCAGAACAATAATTTTCTGGATACAGAGTCGAAGAAAGTTTCATGTGGACTCGCCTTTGTTCGTGCCCGAAACCCGAAGTTATAGAAAATACGGAGATTTCCCGTATTTTGTGATTACACACTTAAATCCGTTTTAAGTCATTACGGATTGCGTTTCCGTATATTTACTGCACATTTTCGTAAAAAATTCCGTAAATATACGGAAGATTCTAACAGTGTGGAAATCGTAGGAAATGGCACCCCACGCCACGACAACTCTCGTTGGGGCGGTGTGCCGCTCTACACTGAGACGTGGATCGTGGCGCTGGCCAGGAAGTCTCCAGACACGAACTCGGTGGTCGTTCGTATCCATGCACAACCGTGATTCGTCACTGAACACAACTTCAGCTCCAGTCCGCAAGCTGGTCCCGGCAGGTCACGTGTGCTCGGCGATGCTAAGGTCGTAATGCTAGACGTCGTAAGCGACTCCGCGGCGACAGATCCTGCTCTGCTGGCTTCTTGGATATGGTTATAGTGGACACAGGCGTATCCCTGGCAGCCACGACATGTCCCTGGATGGCACGCAGCGTGGACCGTGGAGTACTTAAAATCTGTTGCACGATGAAACGATCCTCCCTACTGGCGGTCCACCCAGGACGGCCCGAGTCTTATCTGCGGTGTGTGGGTGGAGGGATTGGTTTTAGTACGTAAGGCCAATGATTAATTTTTGTGGAGAAGTGTGTGAGGGGTTGGCGGTTGAGGGGAGAGCAAGGTAAGATGGTGTCTAGTGTTATATGTTACTAGATTTTTATGAATTTGGGGAGGGATTCAAGATCAAAGTCACCAAAATCCAACATGGAGTCGGAGTCAGTGATGTAATATGTTCCTGCAATTCCATTGGTGTCTTTCGATTTTTACCATTGTATTTCCGATTTTTATGACTGGCGAGGGAGAGGGGAAGAGGGTGTAGTGTGGTATGGTAAGTGTGAGGTTAACATTATTATGTTCCTCAATTAGTAGAATAATTTTTTCGATTTCTTGCGATTTTTCTAGGGTTTTTTTTATGATTGGCAGAGTGTTGCAAAGAGAGGGGGTGGGGTGAGGGTGGTGGGATGAGTGCAAGGTTGTTTGTTTTACGATTATTTAGAATTTTTTCCGAATTTTGGGGAGTGAGGTGAGCGAGGCCTAGGGTAGGGTAACATTTTAATTCTCGATTTTAAATTTTTTTTTATATTTTTTTAGTTTTGTCAAGGTCTTGGCTCAAGGTCACAATATCCAATATGGTCATCGGGTGCCATCACAACATGTCTGTCCCAGGCCTCCTCGACAACCGAGGATTCCAAATCCTGATACAGCTATACCATAATACTCGCTGTATCTCGAAAGATACGTGTCAGATACATACAAATCTATTAAAGGGTCCTGCTTTGCTTGAACATTCCTATAGATTTTCCCTCAATAAATTAATGTCCTCGGTGGAAGTCCCATACCGCGCATTCGAATATTCTTCGATGTATCCACCAGTGGCTGATACACAGGTGCATACTGGTTGAGGCATTTTTCGAACATGAGGTTGATTTTTAGCGGTGTTTTCGTGTGCTTTCAGACACATATTAATACCAATTCTCTCAAATTTTTAAGTTTTCGTCTCCCATTTATAGAACTCGAAGTTGAATTATTTTTGTTTATTTTGGAATGCTGGAAAATTATGAGTTGCGGGCCTTTTTTAAATTTATTGTTTAGAGAAAGCGTTCGAAAATTCATCGGTTGATGTTTTGGTGCTCATCCACCAGATCAACCAAATTTTCAGGCCTGTGGAACCGATGGATAAATCTGTTCAACCGGACTCACCAAACAATTCATTTTCGAACATCCGGTGTACATCGGTGGATGCACAGGTGAACTTTCAAGTAAGCGGATAGGTAAACGCATCACGGCGCGAACACTACACGTCATACGTTGCTGATCCTTGCGCTTAGCGGCGATGGCGCACTTGATGCACGTGCTAGTGTCGCCCTTATCACTCTCGAGTTTCTCAGCCTGTTTTTTTTCGTAACCTTCCTTGAAACTAAGATGAGTGTCGGAAAAGATCGTGAACTAATGCCCGGTTGAACCAAAATCTTCCCCGAACCGAGATCAAATGGCCCTAGTTCCGAACCAGGATCCAGTTTGATCTAGGTTCCAATGTAAAAGTGTTTCACCAACGAAATTTCATGATTCTGGATCTCCGATTCTTTGATCTTAGTTCCAAAGTGAGAGATCGAGATTATGTATGAGAAAATTTTTGCTATTGGTTCGTAATATATGACGTCATGGAAGTAGGCGTATTTTTCACTGTAGATAGAACTAAATGTGCGATGTTTGATCTGTTTTAAGTGAATTATTGTTGTGCGAATTGTACTGAATAGAAGTCATGTGCGTATAATGTTTTTTTAATTTCCTAAGAAAAAAATCTACCGTAGCTCTATTTGTTGGTGTATTTTCCAACTGCATTCGTCGACGATGGCTGCTGATCTCGGATCGAGTTTTGGAACCACCAATTTCAGCGGTTCGAAATGAACTTCAGCTTGATCTCCAGCCCAGTTCTGAAATCGAATGGTGCATCTGTTTTCTGTGACGATCTTAGATCCGATCTCGGATCGAGTTTAGAACCACGATGGTGCAACCGGGCATGAGTGTGTCTCATACTTCTCGGCATGCGAGGAAGGTTCTTACTAAAATGACACGTGCTCGCCACTGTACTGGAACCATGGTTACCTCTCGTGCTAACTTAAACTGGTCTACAACCGGGGGAGGAGAAAGGGTGCGTAGGCTCCGTTAAAACTTCTCGACAGAAAGTAATTGCAAAATTTCGTTCACTTTATATAGTAGAAAACTTTCTCCTCAGGAACAGGGGAATCTCGGCCTTCAACGCGGAGAAGAGCTCCAGGTAGGCGAGGGCCTTAATGCATCCGTCCTCCAGGTAGGCTGGGCCCGCGGTAATCTGGCTCCAGTCGCACGCGATGTGTGGCTGCTCGCCGCACTAGCACATGACGTCGACCCCGAACCAAGGGGCGTGTGGCCCCGTGTCGTTGTGGCTAGATGGCGCTCTCCACGGCACGTACGTAGCGCCCAGGAGACACACACTCGTCACAACCCGGAGGCTGGTGTCGCCACCTGGCAGCCACTACTTGCGTCAACTTCAGTGCACGTGAGGGCACCAGGGTTCGCCCACCTCGCCTCGGCGAGAAAGTCGCAATCATTTTGGCCGCGAGAGGTCTTTGGAACCGGTCCAGGGCGGGTTCGCTGCTCCAGTTACTGGAGCTGCCGACTGGGGAGATGACCTGAGAAAGTCACTTATTATCATTGTTTGTATTAGAATTTTGTAGCACAGATGGTAGAGCGCTCGCTTAGCATGCGAGAGGCACCGGGATCGATGCCCGGCGCCTCCAGTGAGTATTTATTTTGCACTATTTACAACGTCATTAGTTTCACAAATCGCGAAATTTCATCAGTCCACAACAAGATTCGCCGCTCTGCTCTACACTGAGAAAAATCAGCGAATTGTTATTTTGCTTTTTCCTTCCCGGAGGCAAGGAGAAGCAATTTTACGTTCGCCTCAGTACGCTTGGCGCCACCATAGTGCGCAGTCATGATAAGATTGTGCAGCGTGGAACCCGTTAGACTGTTTCTCAACAAAATCAAATACGGACTCCTATGTATATGTATTCTTTTTAACGAGCGTATTGTTAGATACAGAAACATGAGCTCCACTTTATGAATGCGTGGGGATTAAATAAACGGTACGTGCGTTTCTGGATGCCAACGTAGGAATTTTGTCACGTGAGCAAAGCCAGTAACTACTGTTTGTGTAATGTTCGGTCGCCACAGAAGTTTTGCTCTGCACACATATCGAGTATTTGCCTCTCTTCGTTGCAATATATGCAGTTCTTTTTGTTGTTCTCAGCGACGAAGTGAGAATGTGTTTGTAAAGCGACTATAAGACAATACGAGGACGTGTCGTTTTTTCCCACTTGACCGATTTTAGCTTCATACCAGGTTGAAAGGAAATAAATACCGTTTTGTTTCTTCATACTTATGAGCTTTATTTTAATGAAGTAAATCATTCGGAACTATTCTCTGTCGTTAAGGCTCTTAATCCTGTCTTAGAAGAAACTTGTCTCCCAGTTGAGGAAACAACATTCCTTGGAGATATTTTATACATCATTCCTGTTTATCATCACCCTGCCAATCAGAGATTAATTTGATAGCCTGCATCAACGGTGATAGTATGGTGGTGTTATGGTGGACAGATCCCCACCGTTTGTGGATTTACGGATATTCTTCCATAACATTATGCTGATGTTAGAAACTTATATATGTTGTATAAATATAAAATGATGAGTAAAATATTGTTTCCGTTCTTTGCTATGAGTTCTCATTTTACTATGTAAAGTGTTGAGTAGAATAGGTAATTACTGATCAGTGTAGTTGAAGTAACGCATTCAGCTTTAGTAGTGACATATACATTTTAGTAGAGGTCTAATGCGAACCAAGAGCAGCGCAATACTTGGACTAAAAAATCGAGTAAATTTCTCATTTTCAAGCAAATTTTTCAAAATCTTCTGAACACATCATTTATCTCTTCAACTTCATCCCAAAAAAACAAGCAAATTAATGTCAAAACCAAGCAAATTAAAACCAAATCTGCAATCCAAATCAAGCAATTGTATTTAAAAGCCTGCCGAACAGGGACTTTTTTTTTCAGTCGAACAAACTAAATTTAATCTAAATCTGCAAGCCAAATCAACAAGTCAAAAGAGACATAACACAAAATTTGATGAAAATTCTTAAAAGAATTCTAGATCATGAATAGATTTACAGTTTTTCATTTCTTTTAAGCCTCTATATGCTCTAAAAATGCCATTCTTATTTATTAGTTTCAAATTATTTTGATCTATATTTTCACATAACGATTTGGTAATAAAATTTGAAACTTACCACCTAGAATTCAATTAATATTTTTATCAAAATTAGATTCGCAAATTTCAGAATCTGTGGCAGTGAACCATTTTTTTCTTCTAGATCTTATAGTTTAGTGAATTCAACGGAATTGTTCAACTTCTTGAGGAGGGATTCCATTTTGATGTATAAAGAGAAAAGTTTATTAAGAAGAAGAAATAATTGGTGCTGAAGTTTTATCAAGATAGGATGATTTAGCTTGCAGATTAGGCTTAAGAAACCCTGCTCAAGGAGACCCTAGAAGCACTGAAATTTGTTAGATTTTGGCATTAAATTTTCTCTATTTTGAGCTACAATTTGAAAGATTTTACAGGAAAAGAGAGATTTGCTAGATTTTGGCTTTAATTTTCTTGAATTTTATCCAACTTAGTGCGTTGCGCCTGTGTCCGCAATAGACCTCTACTCACTTTCACTATACCAACGAACACTCATAAAATTTCCAAACAGAAAAACACTGGATGTACAGGATAAAAGACTGATGGTCAAAACCAACTTTATAATTTACTGCTGCGAATAACAGAAAGGATAGTGGGTTTCACTCAAGCTTTATTAATTAAAATTGTTAGTGGGAAAAATTAAAATCATGTTAAACAAAATTGAAACATGTAGACACTTTATTAGCAAGTCTGAGGTCTCTTAAACATTTGACTCAACCTGTATTAGGAGTTTAATAGCTTCAAATGTACACCATCCATACAGAAGATATTATAAGGCCGATAAAATCTGAGAAATTATAAAAAAAAATAATAATAATAATAATGTTGCTTTATATCTGTTCAAAAATATGAAAATAAGAATGTTAATATTTCCATTACCTTTACTTCTTGCGTCTCTAAAATACGTTTATACTTCTTCTTGACTGCGTGAAAGTAACTCTCACTTTCACTCGTAATTACCTAAAAGTTAATCAAAATTAAAAGTTCAAACCAAAGTTTATAGCTCCAGATAACTTAACATCTTAATTCAAAATGGTTTCTCAGGGTTTATGACTTTAATAAATTTCTCTCCGTCACTAGCTTCAGTCCGCAGAGCAGCGGACCTCTGGATCGTATCATATCAATGAAAATCCAAGTCATCACAATTTAAAATGTGCATAAATGTTATGTAGTATTCTTCAATGGTACTTTGAAGTAGTTTAAATATCAATTCATGCCCCTCTGGCCCTACAGAAAATACGGCGTCACCTCGTACGTGGTTGGCGTCATCACCTCTACGATGGCGCCTGGCGTTCCAAGCGGCGCCTCGACGATAAGCGTCGTCTGGGACCACTCAGAGAAAACTAATTGTAACGCCTACGCCATTTTCTTTTAATGGCGTGGCGTTCCTACTCAACAAACTTACTTCTGGGACTCAGAGCAAATAGCTTATGTAGGCTGGCGCCGGGGATTCAACTGATTTAATCCCCGGCGAAAATTAGACGCGGCCGTCTCAGTCAAAATTCCTTCCAGAAGCATGACTTCCGGGCATCTACGTCAAATGAGTACCAGAAAACCTCAAGCGACTTCCGGAATAACCGAAATAAAACTAAAAATAATCAAAACCAAAAACACATGAAAATTAAACCATAATTAAAGCAGAACTGCAAAAGAGATAGTTTCACAAGAACAATAAACTTAAACAACAACTTACAATATAAATATGTGATTGAAAAATCAAATTTAAGTTTTAAGGTTACTGAAAGTAATATATATAGGAAATGGATGTAACTATTTGGGCGATCAAAATAATATTTAAAATATAAACATAATGAGGAAACTATTACCAATACCAAACATTAAGTCAATATTTACAGTAAACATCAGCTTTTAAGGAAATTCTATAACAGACTTAATATAACTTAATCTACAGAATAAATATTTAAAAACCAAGTTGTCAATTCACAAAGAACATCTCAACAGTTCTTTCGATACACAACTTATTTATCTCCCAGTACTAATTTCACATCTCCAACCTTAATCAAAGTATCTCTCGCCGTTTAGTATAGTTGTCCCAAGTGAGGAAATGCAGATATAACTGAACCTATGCAAACTTCTGAGATCTGATAAGCAGCCCCTATGCCACGTCAAGTTTGAATTTTTAATGTCCAGTCATAAAATTTGTTTTCGAAGAGTTGTAAAAAAAAAAAAATGCTAGATGGATAGGAGTTCTCCCAGTTTAGTCCGGGCAATGTGTTGAGGATGGGTAGTAACTTCTTACCTCAGGATAATCAGCTTCTGCTTCGTATATGTTGCCACACTGGCGTTGCCTACCGAGAGCAGACGACACGTGACATTGACTCGCGATGGCCAATGGCTACCCTTTGCACAACTGCCGGTGCGTTTCGTCGATTCATGCACAGTAGAAGCCAGCGCTGTTATGGTGCCACCATTGTAGTTAAAGAACTTGGAGAGTTACCCACTACCTTAAGGCGGTAGGTCATCTACGTGATTTCTAGATTCAGGGGAGCGATACATGCGACACTGACACTCGCGTCAAGTGCGCCATCACCTATGCACAAGGGCCTTAACTGGACCCCTTTGTTATGCTGGAATCACATAGCCCCTACGAGCACAGAACGACACGACAAAAACAGCAACCAAAACCATTTTCACCGTGAATGCTAGAATTTACATCCCGACAGATTACTGGTGAGACACAACGAGTAGAATTTTCGGATCCATTTAGAAGGCGCTGATTAACTACGCTAGTTCCAAAGGCGGTGGGCAGACTGGGAAATGATAGTTATAGCTAATGCATACTAAGGTTAAATTATTATTTATAAAAGTTAAATACAATCATTTTCATAACTTGTTTTCTTTTAAGGTACGTATTCCCCATTGTATAGAAAGCTTATCATACAATTTCATTTTACAAGGTTGTACACACTTTCCGTCGTGTCGCACGACACGGTGAGTAATAGAAATAATTTCTAATCCAAAACTGTTGGTCGTACGACACAATTGTCGGGCTTACGTCAGATCTATCTTGTATTTCATTGGTTGTTTAGTTTTAAGTGTCGTGTCGTGCTTGCGGTATCTTGCTGGTCGGGGCTATGTGATTCCGGCATTATGGACGTGCTGCGCGTACCTACGCGGCTTTCAGCGGCGACCCTGCCATTTTAGTGATGGGAAGTCTGCAATAAAGTTGAATGCAGTGCCATATTCTAGTTTCGTAGGAATTCACTCTGAATATTTTAAGCTATAACAGTCTGTAAGTGTGATTTTTGTCGATGTCTGAGAGCTTAAAAATAGCATTTGCAATAAGCGTGCTGTGACCTGTTGAAAGTTAATTTTTTCGCCTTAGTCTGAAGTGTTATTTCGTTTCGTGAGGAGATGAGTACATATAAAAAAATCCCTCCTAAAACAAGTTTTATAAAGCACACACTGCAAAACAGTTGGGGCACCAGGTAGAAGAGGCGCCTTCTAGAGTTAAAATCCCATCGGTCGGTCCC